TACATGAATGAAGCTAATCATCTTTATAATTGAGTACTAAGTATTGATATTTAAATATTATAAAGAACAGTAAAATAAAATTATCAATTTATTTATTACTTATTAAAAAACATATATAGTCAAATATAAGCAAGTAAATATAAATAGGATCAAGTAAATATAAATAGGATCGGAGGAGAGTAGTAACTATGCTACTTCATGTTGATGGGTTCTTATGTCTTTTAAGAAATTACATTATTCATTTAACATTTAATGTATTAAAATGTAAACTATAAGTATCTTGAAATTTAAAAGTTTAGCTTGAAAATTTAAAGAAGTTGTTAAAATGAATGTATCTAAACTATTTAAATTAACTAGGATTAATTCTTTAATGATAATCCATGTATCCGATTTTTTTTGTATTTACCATTTTTGGACAAATTTTATTTTTCGTGTCTCCTCCTAAATTAGACTATTAAAACTTATGATAATTCATCTTAATTTTAACTTATAAATGCATTTGACTTTAAGACGTGTCTGCTTCAGCGTGTTTTTTTTTTTTAAAAAATAAATTTATTTCTTTTGTTCTACTTTAATTTAATTAGTGAATAATTATCTTATTATATAAGAGACCGTTTGTGCTGAAGCAAGCACGTCTCCATCGACGTGCTTACTTGGGCATTTTTTGTTTTTTTTTTTAAATATTTCTTTTGTTCTACTTTAATTTAATTAGTGTATAATTTTTTTAAAATTATGGAATCCGTTTTAGCTATGACTTTTAGTTTAAAATTCAAGACTTCACGTTGAAGCATGCCCGTCTCCATCAACGTGCCTGCTTCAGCCAATTTCGGAAATTTCTTTTAAAAAAATTACTTATTTTGTTAATTAGTCAAATAAATTAATAATTAATTATATTAAATATATATAACAAAATTATTTAAAAAATATAATAAAATGTCTACATAAATATTTAACGTAGTATAATTGGAGTTAGACTTTACGTAAGCTCACGTATACTTTGACACTAAATGCTTGTTGATAAGTATGTGGATATGTTTGAAGTTGATAATATGAAATATGATGCTTGAGTGCATGAGTGGATTGGATACTATAGAGTAGAACCACGCTGATATGGTACATGAACGAAGCTAATCCCCTATAGATCATGGTTATTAGGCATACATAAGACCCCTAATGTTGTGTGAGTTCATGATGCATTAGCTATTAAATGACTCTATGACCTATTATAGATATGGTTGATTTTGTGGTGACTATACTTATATACTGCCCGTTGATGTCTTGTGCTAAAGTTTGACTTACGTGTTGTTTGGTTTATGTGTTGTTTGTTTCTAATTTGAGTCGGCCTATAATGTCTATCAATACATAATGACTTGTATTGATATTGTCATGTACTCTTCTTTTAATTTATTGAATGTAGATCATGTTCTAAAAGTTCTTTTGAGACCCCAATTCTAGTGTAGTCAGCAGATTTCGATTAACACGACCAACCATAGACCATGAGAGATTAACAATCTTCTCTTCAGGGTCAGTGGCATCCTTGTTACCATGATAAAGTCTAAATTAATGTCTGAATCATCAAGATTCAAATCAGATATCTTCTCTATCTATATATTGTCATCATTTGAACGAGAATGAAAGCTCTCATGTAGAGAGATTTTAAAAAAATATTGTTCTTCAAATTGAAGGCATCTGTCAAGTTTAATTAATATTTTTGAAAAAAAAAATACAACTTTGAATGAAAATCTAAATAAAGTTTAATAAAATTTATAAATAATTGAACAATAAATACGAAATTTATCAATTGAGTAAAATTTGTGGACAAACTTAACAATATGCGAAATGGAAGCAGTCTCAAAACATCCTCTTAACTAAACAATATTAATCGATTTATGAAATTTATGAACAATTTAACAAGATATATCGGTAGAATAAAGATAATATCAAAAGTAGGCGTTTGGCCATGCGATACCATATCACGATATGGAATCATTGTTTGGACATGTGATTTCACGCTGATTCTATCTCATATCATGAGATGGAATACCATATTCTCCAAAAATCATTTATGGGAACTTCATATCATGATTTGGGATTTTTTAAATACAAAAGTTGACCCACAAGTTTATATTTTGTTAAAACAATCTCATATTTATATCTACTAACCATTTATTTCATACGTAAATAAAATTAATAATCACATCATTACTTTTTAAAATTTATTATTTTCACCAACATAAAATTTATTATTGCTTTATTGGTGAATATAAATGATAAAATAGGAATTGATTTGGCGATTATAAATAAGAGCGGAGGGATTAATACTTTTTTGGTTTTTCGTAATAAAAAAACTTTTCTTTCGTCTACATATGAAAATGTTTAAAGCAATTTAATATGAAAAAGGACAAAATTGGTGATGTATGTTTGATAACCATTACTTCCAATATGTTTGATTTTAGCACGAAATTAATGCAGTGAAAATGTGTAATTGCACATATGTAAAACAAGGCATGAACCATATGATATTGACACACAAGTGAAAATTGTCACAACTTTTACAGTGTTACATAATTATTTGCGAGAATACCAAATGAGTGATGAAATATTTATGGTCTATTATCATGAAACTATAGTTGTGAATGATATTGACCAACAACTGGCTCAAAGTAATAATGTTGGTTCGTTTTCTCGGTCATATGATCGAAAAATGCAAGTTCAATGTGAGAAGATTATTCGTACTATGTGGGAGGATATATTAAATACTAGTACACTACAATTTATGCTCAATATTTTTTATTGAATTAAAGTTTGATCAATTAAAGTTAGATGACACCGTTAATTAAGTGAAGAACAAATAGATTTGTAATAATTTATTATGCGATTTTATAATTTTTTGTTATTTGATAAGATTGAATAAACAATTGGGGCTATTTTAATAGTTTTACAACTTATGAGATTCTTATTTTATGAGAAAATATAAAACACAAAAAATTCATATTGCATGTTCAAACAAAACTCTAACTTCATTGCATGATTTCATATTATAATATCATATCATGATTTCATATCGCATGGTCAAGCGGGCCTAAAACTGTGTCTCATCCAACATAATTTGTGAATAAGATAAGATTTCTCAATCAAATAAAACTTATGAACAATTTAACCAAATAAACAAAGTGAAAATAATATAATCTCTATCACCTTTTGCATGATATGTTTCCACCAACTCCCTTTCTTGTTTTTTTTTTCTCGTCTTGATAGTATATAGTTTTCATTTTTTTAATGATGTCAATCAATAATAGGGCAGTCACAACCCCACCAATCAAGTTGCCCCAAACTGCTGTTTCAAAAACCACTTCTTGCAACTTGCAACTTGCAACTCTTGTGGACCCAAACCACACCTCAACCATACCTACGTTCCAGAACTTTCTTATAAAGAACCTTCTCCTCATCCTTCCAATTTCGAAACTACTTATTATTAAAAAATTGGATTACATATATTATTCTCTCTTATCCGTGACACACTTTTCTTTTTAGTCTGTCTTAAAAAGTATAACACATTTTCTCAAATATTTAATAATAATATCAATATCTTATCTATGTTAGATGACTAGATCTATCACACATATAAAATGTAATTTTCTATTTAAATTTTCATGTCCAGTTAAACTACGTACATAAATTGAAACGGAGAAAATAATAAATAAAAAATTGCATAGGAGGAAGATGCTCACACCCCAAATGTCTAGAAGTCTAGAACCTTCCACTTAAACAATATTTTATTAGTACTATCTTTTTATTATTATTATTATTTCTTAGCAACTCAATAGGTGGAATTGCTGACTCTTCTTTTCTATTAATAGCCTTTTAGCACTTACTTCCAAAGCTTCTTTATCCATGGTGTCCAAAGCAATTTATTCACTAAAATAACTCAACTTCTTAACTGCATAAACTACTTTCCCCAAAGAGAAACTTTCCATTTCCAAAATCCAAACTTTTTTCTTCCTAAAAATACATATATTTTCCCCTGTTTCTTGATGATGAATCAATTGTATTCAGTTAAAGAGGAGTTCCCGGGGTCAAGTTCTGGTGGGGGTGAGCCCCCACCGCCGACACCACAACCAATGGAAGGGCTTCATGACATTGGTCCACCACCATTCCTTACAAAGACATATGAAATGGTGGATGATTCAACTATAGATCATGTTGTTTCTTGGAACAGAGGAGGTCAAAGCTTCGTAGTCTGGGATCCTCATGCCTTTTCGACTACACTACTTCCCAGATTCTTCAAACACAACAATTTCTCGAGCTTTGTCAGACAGCTAAATACTTATGTAAGTATATATATAACTGCGTCAAAAATCAAGTGGGAAACTTTCGTTCATATATACTTACTTGCTCCTGATTGCTAAATCTTTGTGAACACACAAGTGAACAAGGCTCTTAGTAGGAAGGAGAATCTCAAAAATAAATTACATCCCACTTGGAGTATTAATGTGATGATATATGGATGCAACTTAACTTTTTAGAATTGTGTTTTTTTTATTATTAATTTCAGACGAATTAAGATCTGGTGATGTTCCTCTGATGAATCCTTCAAGTTCTGCTGGTTGGTATAACATATTAAAATATTCATCGTGCTGCGGACCCAAAAATAAATAAAAAAATGCGCTAGTCTCAAGAATTGTTTGCCAAGATGGATCTTGGAAAAATTTGGAAGATGATGATACTAAGCTGCAGATGGGATTTGATTGTTGCAGGGATTTAGAAAGATTGATCCAGAGAGATGGGAATTCGCAAACGAGGCATTTCTAAAGGGGAGCAAACATCTTCTAAGGAACATCAAGAGGCGAAAAACGCCTAATTCTCCTACAGAGCAAGGTCTCGGTCCTTGTGTCGAATTAGGATTTGATGGAGAAGTTGATCGATTGAGGCGTGACAAGCAAGTTTTGATGATGGAACTAGTGAAGCTTAGACAGAATCAACAGAATACTCGAGCTTACATTCGATCTTTGGAGGTAAAGTTACAAGGAACAGAGAGGAAGCAGCAACAAATGATGAATTTTTTAGCAAGAGCTATGCAAAATCCGGAGTTTGTCCAGCAGTTAATCCATCAAAAAGGGAAGAGAATAGAAATTGAAAAGGATATAACTAAAAAAAGGCAACGACCTATTGATCATCAAGGTCCTAGTGCTAGTACATTACATGTTGGAGGATCTAGCCATTTCATAAAATCAGAACCCTTGGAATTCGGAGAGGCTAACGGATTCCAAGTGTCTGAACTTGAAGCACTTGCATTAGAAATTCAGGGATTTGGTAGAGCAAGAAAGGATCAACAAGAAGAGTACACGATAGCAGGGCTCGAACAATTTGGCAACACGGATAAAGAACTTGATGAGGGGTTTTGGGAAGAGCTATTTAACGATGAGGATGTGTCTGGAAATGAAGATGGTGAAGAAGAAGATGTAGATGTCTTGGCAGAGAGGTTAGGGTTCTTGGATTCGAACCCTTAGTAAAAGCCTCAAACTAGTTTTGTCTCATGTGCTTTTTCAAGAACTCATTCATCAGCTGGACCATTACATCGAAATCTTGTATGAACCTACATTGTGTTATTTACTACTACTAGTAGTTAACTTATGTGTCTTGATTCTGTGTAGTGAGTTTTCAAGTATTCAACGACGAATGAAGTAAGCAGCTATATGGATCAACCAGCTACTCGTTGGTAGTTTTTTTCTTTCAGAACAAATATTCTAGTCTCTTTCTGTGTAACTTTAGGCCTTTCTTGTAAACTTTATTTTAATTTCATTGACAGGATAGATTCATGAAGGACTCAAGAGTCAAGTCTGAAAATCCTTGTTGGTTTTTCTGGTTACTATTTATATTTTCAGTTATTGGTTTCCTTTCAATGCTTTTGTTACTTCTCTGCCTCTTATTCTTGTTTTTCTCTGGATCCAAATGCAGGCATAGGTTATGCAGATTTTGATCAAGTCTATGGTCTTTCAAGGTTATTGTAAATGCTCATTTCGGGTGATAAAAAATGTCAACGGGGTGTGTTGGATTCTTCAAAAGTAGTGTATTTTTGGAGAATCTGATATTGAAATGTTGTCCTTGCTTGTGTGGTGTTTAGATTGTTGTCTTTATGATGAAGACATAGGTTACAAATAGAAATCCCAATTACACCAGAATCAAGATTTCACCACAAGTGGCGGTTTGTAACTACTTTGCTGACAAAGATTTAATTTGTCTGACATTTAGTGTCCTTGTCTCTATTTGTGAGAAATGAATCATGTCCAATTGTCCATCTTCCATATAAAAAAATCTCCTTCTTTTGTTGGCTCTAGAAATGAAAATCTAAATAAAATGAACTAGAAATGGAGATGAAACATATAATTATATTCGAGTCCACTGAATTTAGAGTGTATCTTTAAGAAATTCAATCAATGTTAGTATTTTAGGTATAGGATTATTTCTCCCAAGATAAATCAAATTAACGTAACGGTACTTCAAACTCCAATGTACAGAAAACTCAAAGAACAACTAAATCACACTTAGAACTTACTTTGATATTGTAAAAAATATCGCAGAAAGAAGGAGAGAATATTAGAATTTTCGTAAGTAAAAATATGAGGAAGCGGATAAGTATTTATAGCCAACAAAGAGTAATGTAAACATATGCTATTGTGCCTTTTATGAAAAGTCATAACCTATTCAATGTGATCTGCTATTCAAATTGCACCCTTTCTCCTGATGCCTTTTTGAAAAAACACATATTCATTTTTTATTCACACCTTTTAAAAAACTCAACGAAATGATTTTTTTCAAATCTCTCATACGTAAAAACGAAGACATCTAGTAAAATAATCATAAAACTAAAACAAAATATTGTAAGTATTCCACTTTGTAATACCTTGCCTGCTAGATTTTTCCTTGTATGTGTCAATTTGTTTTCAACCTGCCGTACAACATGTTAGGTGTGGGAAAGAATAGGTGTGGACTACAATTGATTCTCACAACACCAAAAATAATTTTTAGCAGTAATTAATTAACGACAATAGCTTAATTGTCGTTAAATATATTCTTTTAGAATGTAATTAACATTTTTTAAAATAAATGTCCCTAAAGTCTATAGCGACATTGGATCCAATGATAATTAACTAATGTCAGTAAGATCTTTAGCACTCTTTATTAATATGCATATTTATTATCGTTAAAAGTTGTTTTTGTTATAGTATCTCTGCATGACTTAATGAGACAGCCAAAGGAAAGGGAAAATTAGGATTTTGGAACCTAGTGGCTTTGATATTCTCATACTTGACGACGTGTGTTGCCTCTTTATTACATTTATGGACAAATCACACTTCATCAATATTTAATCTTCCCCACATAGGAAACAAGACAAGATGTGTGGGGTACAAGTAGGTTACAATTTTGTAGTAGTTTGGCAATACAAGAGATCATTGATTGTCCAAGCTAATGAAGAAATCATAAATTTTATGATTCATATAATTCATGTAGAGGGCCTAGGGCAGGTAACTCATGCCATACCTCTAACTTGCAATATACAAGTTCATGCTAACAACAGTTTGAGTCCCTTGTAATACAAACGTGTGATTTTATGGCTACTGCGCTAGGAGTCAGACTATGCTTAGTTCTCATTTCATGATGTTTGCGTTGTGTGAATTCTAGCTAGGAAGTAATTAGCACCGTAAAGGAGTTAATAGGGTAGCTTCAATATCGACGGGTAAAAAATGAAATGAAATGCTACCGAAGTGGTAGGCTCATAGACGTTATTAGTGAATGCAATGATTAGTGTAATCTCTTTTTTCTACGTGAACTTTTTCTTATGTAAACCCGATGTGTTATCTAAGTCCTTAATTTTAACTAGTTCAATGAAAATCTCCTTTGTTGCAGCAAAAGTAAAAAAATAAAAATGTATCCACGATGCACCCTACTTGTCGAAAACAAAAATCCTTACTAGCCGAAGTATGAGACTTTTATATCGATTGATGAATATAATTTTCGATCAAGAGGATTCAATTGGACCCCTCCATCATACATAACCCTTTTATTATCCCTAATCTTTAATTAAAGATTACGAATTTAAATTCTGAAAATGAAGTCAGTTTTTATATCCATAAAAAATTGATGAACAAGGAGCAAGTATATCAATATACATGTCTTATGTGTTTGGTTCATTATAGGGAACATGAAGGAGAGAGAATATCGTATTTATTTCCTAATGTGGAGTGGCCCTTATTCATTCTACTAGACGATGCTCGTCCGTGTTAGCATGGGCTCAACATTATAAAAGTTAAATATTGTGTATTTTTTTCATTACCTCTCTTTAGATATTAAAATGACAAAAAAAAAATATAGTTGAAACTTCTATCGGTGATGATAACCACTTCATAATATTTACAATCCACACACTATATAGACACAATATATAATAATCAAATAATCACATTACGTATAGAATGAAAAAGTGAATATAAAAGAAAATTAATGCTTACACCGACCATGTGAGTATAAGAATTCACCATCCAGGCATTTCATCACACATTGTGATCAAAATAAGATGTTACATTATAAGGTCTCTAGTCTCTACAATTCATGAACCAAAATAAAGTTTAATCTTCTTACAAGTTACAAGGAGTCCAATACATGTAAGATAGCCTTAAATTCATCTATATATACTACCATTAGACATTTTGTGTATATACTACGATTAAACATTTTGTGTATTGATGGCGGATGAACATGAACGAAAAGTAAGTAAAACCTAACAGTTAAATCAAAACAAAAATAAATACAAGAGACATACATATACAAAAGAAATAAATAATTCCATGAAGAAATTGTTGTTGTTCATGTGCATCTGCATTAATATAGTTAGTAGCTATAGTAAATATCAAAAGTAATTTGCAAACTTCTCTTGATTTTTGAGACATGTCATGCTGGATATGAAAAAATAGAAGGTTGAATATGATCCTCTATTGGGTGTTCTAGAGATAATAGATCTTGATGATAGTTGTAAAAGTACTACAAATTACCACTATGATTTATCATCTTTTTTTTTATATATATATATATTTTTATTTTTTTTTTACCGTGGTTTCCGGGCGTCGCTTTGCGAACCCGACTAGCTGTACCCACCAGGTCCCGCTGTTTCAAGGCGGGTCCACCACGGTTAGTTCCACGGGGCCCTGGAGACGCGGCCGGTTTGTAATGCCTCCAGTGGCCCTGCTGGGGCTCGAACCGGCGACCTGAAAGACTTTGTCCCAGGCCTTTACCAGCTGAGCTACCTCTCAGGGTTTCTTTTTTTTTTTTTTTTTTTTTTTTCAGAAAATAAGAAAAGTAAAAATAATTATGATGATTTAATCATATTATCAAACAAAAACAGATACCACGAAAATCCCGTTAGCCATGGTGCATTTTTAGGAAAATGGGAATCAAGAACAGTGAAAAATTAAACTTAGCAGCACTGAATAAAATAAATCACACAGCAAAAGCAACGAAGACAAATTTAGAAATTTGAAATATATATATATATATATATATATATATATATATATATATATATATGGATCAAAAAATACATTCCAGACAAAGTTCCTTAACCCAGTGGCAGATTTCTCCAATATTTTAAGCTAAAATGATTACTCTGTAAATAAAAAAGAAATAAAAAACATCACAATTCAGGTTTTGATTAGGAATATGATATCTCTTGTGTTTATATATCAATTGAATATGAAACATAAAACCGAAAATAGAGAATGATAAAAAATCGGAAGAAAACAGTGTAGAAGAGAAAAATTAAAACCAACACTAACCGATCGACACAAGAGAAATATTACCCATTTAAACTATTTTAGAGTTTTATTTTTTTGAATTATTTGCGCCTTTAAATTATGTGAGTATCCTATTCTCCTAAACTTAACTGTTGAGACTGTATTAATTTTTATTGTGTCTATTAAGATAATGTTATTGCACTATTAAGTGCACTTTTATACTTTTTTTAATCTTGAAGTTTGATCACTCATTTTTTATATTTATAAAATTATTCTTAGTATTTTCCACTAGTTTCCTTCATTTATACTTGTAAAGTTGATATTTTGCACAAATTTTCTTTATTTATTTGATATATAAATTTTCAAGTTGTTCTTTTT